AAAAAAAAAAAAAAAGAAAGAAAGAAGTCCTGAATCCAAAGGTGGTACTGGCACATACATGCTTTTCCCTTCAGAAAACATGGCCACTAAAAAGGCGCATGCCATCAAATCAAAGCAAGTAACCACATCTCCCTTCCACTGACTCGAATCAGCAGAACCAAAGTAACTCTGGTCTTTTAAGAATAAATGAATGTTTTAAAAATTTTAAAAACTACTTAACCTCCTCAAAGTACTCCGGAAGAATAAAAATTACGGTAAAGAAATCTAAGCTAATGAACATTACCACGTGTGGATACTTTTCACTTCAAAACTGTTACATGTGGATTCTTCCCACCACCTCTTGAAGACACGGTCCCCACCCCGAGAATCTACAAACCTTAACAAAATCCCCATTTGCCACACCTTGTGGACAGAGCGACAAACTGCAGTTGAGAGTAGGTTCATAGGGCCTCAACTCTAAGGCTTAATGCAGGCGACGGAGGATTCCTATGGTAAATTCATCTGGTCAGCTTCCAAGTGACAGGAACAGAGAGGCAGGGCAGATGAAAATGCTCCCCTCTGCATGCACTGACCTGCTCCTGGGAGCCTTTTCTTGGGGCTCGGATGCCCCGCAGTCCACCGAGGGCACATCTGTAGATTCCGCTGGCTTCGGGGAAGAGGCCGCTGGAGGATCCTGGGGCCTCGGAGCCTCTTGTCCACGTTGGGGGTTGGGAGCGGTAGAACCCCTGGCGCCTACACCAGGCCTGACATTCGGCTTCACGCTAAGGCGTGCCCTGCGGAACATGGCGGAGCCAGGGGGCCCGGGGATGCGGCCCCACGGCCGCTCTCAGCCCCGAGCCCCGGCCGCTGCCCGGAGAAGGGGTTAAGAACTACGCCCTTTCCACACAGCCACGCCACCAGGCCAGCGGACAGCTACCGCAGTTTCTCACCCCCGCCACCTCCTCCTTCCTCCCGCCGCCGCCTCTTCTTCATGACCCTGCTACACTAATAGCTAAGTTCCCCCAGTACCTTGCTTCCCCGCCCTCATAGGGAGGGCGCCGGAACTGATTACGCCATCAGCCAGCGCCGCGGAAGAACGTAAGACGCACATCTCCCGGAGCCATGGTAACTGTCAAACTATAGAGTTACTCGTGAACCGGAAATTGGGATGCACGGTGAACCGCTCTCCCCTCATTAGGAATCCCTAGGAGTTACTGAAAGGAGGGGAAGGAAGTAGTCAAGTCCCTCAGCCCAAATCTTTAGGAGACTATTAAAATCATGGGGTACCTGACTGGCTCAATCAGAAAAGTGTGGGACTCTCGATCTTGGGGTCGGGAGTTTGAGCCCCACATTGCGGATAGAGATTACTAAAAAAATAATAATAGAAAACTTTAAAAAAAAAAAAAGGTCTTGTATAGTAGTGCCCGTTCACCAGCACATCCCCAGAACTTAGAAATTCTAAATTGAGTAGAACATAAATTACAAATTCAGGTGTGAAGAAACTGGTAAATTACTTCCTAGAATGGGAGCTAGGTTTCTGGAACATATCATGGGAGGAAGGCCATTCACTGTAAACCTTTGTGCACTTTTTAAAATACCTGTTCAAGAATTATTATAGTTAAAATTATATAGTTATAGTAAATTAGTATTCCTAATCTGCTTCAGGAGATAGCAATAGAGCAATAAACAAGGTGTTCTGGGTTGGGGAGAAAAAATACAACAAAAGAACAATTTAAGAATTTATTAAATGATATGAAACAAATTTAAAGGGTTCTATGACAGGGGCACCTGGGTGGCTCAGTTGGTTAAGCATCTGCCTTCCCTGAGGGTCATGATCTCAGGATCCTAGGATCCAGCCCCGCATCCAGCTCCCTGCTCAGCTGGGAGCCTGC